AGACAGAGACAGAGACAGAAACAGAAACAGAGACAGACAGACAGACAGACAGACAGACAGACAGACAGACAGACAGAAAAAAGACAGGCAGGCAGACAGACAGATAGACAGACAGAGACAGAAACAGAGACAGAGACAGACAGACAGAGACAGAGACCAGCACGGCAGCCCACTCCTGTAGTCTCCGCTTCTCGGGAGGCTCAAATAGAGAGATCAAGCAAGCCCAGGAATTTGAGGCCAACCTGGACAACGCAGCGAGACCCTGTCTCAGAAGACAAAGCATCAAGTTCTCTCGGTCTATAAAAATCACCACGAAGTTAGCTCCATTGAAAACTGCGAGCCTTGCAGTCAGGACTGCAGACAAGCTGACTTCCACTGATGCGTGTGGATGCAGCATTCTCTGGCCTTGTGACCTAGGAGAGTATCACCCGGGTCAGAACAAGCTGCTGACCTGAGGCAAGCTCTGCCTTCGCCGCACTTTCAGACATGGAGCTGGTCTCAGCTTCGTGAATGCGGCAGGGTCACTAAGCAGTTTGATCAAACTGCAGGTGGCTTGCTTCGCTGCACCCCACATGCAGCTTATCGGGGCAGGGTCCAAAGCATTCTACTGAGCATCACCACTGCACTAACAGATGCCATTCACTGGGCTGGGTGCCATACCCAGAGCTGGCTCTCACTGTCTCCTTCCTGTCACTGACATCTCTGTCACCACATCCCTTCCCTCAGGGAGAGGTTTGTGTCCAGAGAAGAGCTAACTGCCCGTGGGCAGGCTGAGTCCAGCAGCCCCTTGACCTGGGCTGCTCAAGATGCCAGCAGAGACATAGCCTTGTCCTTCCCTGTGCCGGACACCTGGGACCCAGCTGGCCAGCAGCCTGGAACACCAGTTCAGCTGGTAGAAGTGAAATAAAACTAAAACCCTTTAGCAATCCTCTGTCTTTTGTCCTCGAAGCACCGCAGCCTTCTAGTGGAACTGACTTTGGAAGCACTGTAATTCAGATTCTTTCGCTTTTTCCTTCGCCCTCTCAGATCTGTCCCCGGGAAGCATTCTAATTAAATTCACGGACAAAGGATCACGGGGGAAGTGTTAAGTAAGCAAGTAGAAGCCCGGGGAGTGTGGGGAGAGGGCAAATGCTGCTACTGTAAATCTTTTGTCTTTGACCTTCTGGAGGTGAGGGTTCCGCTCCCAGGGAAGGACAGCTGCACCTGATGGGAGCTTTCAAGTTGGAGGTGGAACTTGAGGGCAGCTAGAGCCCTGCTGAAGTTCCTGTCGCAGTGTCCAAAGAACATCTGCTTGATGGAGCTGAACTATGAGAAGATGAGAACTGAGTCCCAGTCCAGTCGGGAAGTTGAAAGACTCAGAGGACAATCCATAGGAAAATCTCCGAAGGGGAGGCCGTCTGTCCTGAGCCTGCTCACTCGTGGGCTGAGGACAAAGCAGAACACACTTGGTGTTCTGTGATATCCAGCACCCTGCTAGATCTAAGTCAGGACCAGGGTGTCCCTGGGAGCTACAAGAGACCCTGATTCCATGCAGACAGAAGCTAACAGGAAATCTGCAAGGCCACTGCAGAGAGCCAGCAGCTTGCATGGGGCCTCCAGTCTGTCTGGCTGTGCCCCAGCTTCTCTGGGGATCCTCAACCTGGAAGCAGTGGGAGATCCGGTTCCCTCACACACGCAGAGCCACTCCACCAGGCTCCCATAGGCTTGGCCTAGGAGCTCAGGATCTGCCCCCAGATGATCTGTCCTACCACGTCCATCCCTAGATGGCTGAAGTCTTCCAGATGCCAGCCTGGGGGGGGGGATGCGATGGGGGGCAGCAGGGGGGACAGAGGGAGTTGGGAGGGGTCCGAGCCAGGCTCTCAAACTCTGCTCTTGTCCACAGAACAGCCTCGCACAGAATCCGAGTGGGAGAACAGCTTCACCCTGAAAATGTTTCTTTTTCAGTTTGTCAATCTGAACAGCTCCACATTCTACATTGCGTTCTTCCTCGGAAGGTAAGAATCTGACCCCTCTCACCTGAAACCAGGTAGGAACAGACTGCTCCAAAGGGACTGGCCAAAGGGGATGGGAATCCCGTCCTGTAGGGTGATCTACCCAAAGGGGAGCTTCCCAATCACACAACCACCTTGATGGGGATCCAGGAAGCAGTCTCCGAACCCTCAAAGGTCCCGGTGCACCTTCACTGCTAAGTGAGTGGAGCAACAGCTCTCACAAGAGAACGACGACTTGAAAGTGTCCTGAGTGAGGCCCGGGGTCTCACTGGAGCAAATGTGTGGCATAGGGGAGCAGCTCATCCCAGCACCCCAACTCCACAGAAAGACAAATGATATCCCAGCAGGAACAGGGAGGAACAGACACAGCAGGTCCTGGGTGCCGTGGGGCCAGCACCTCTGAGGGTGGGAGGATTCCGTGTTTGGTGCCGAGGTCCCAAGCGTCCCCGCATCAGGAAGCAGGAGGGCTGCTTCGGCGTTTTGGCGATCTGGGGCGATGTGCCAAACTGCAAGCCCAGCCTGCTGATGACTGAATGCTAATGCCCTGTTTCTCTGTGTGTGTTGAAGATTTACAGGACACCCAGGTGCCTACTTGAGGCTGATAAACAGGTGGAGACTGGAAGAGGTCTGTATCCTCCCCCTCCCACTTTCCGTTTCCCTGGCACCCAGACTCCCCTCGCGCCTCGCCATTGATCCCGAATCTCTGTGTCTGCTTACCTTGCAGTGCCACCCTAGTGGATGCCTTATTGATCTCTGTATGCAAATGGGTATTATCATGGTGCTAAAGCAGACCTGGAACAATTTCATGGAACTTGGCTACCCGTAAGTACCCGAGCGGCTACCACGCAGAGGCGCTGTTGCTCTGTCTTGGCGTTTCTAGGCGCGGCAAGATAAGCAGCGCAGACTCAGCAACTAATGTTCCAGGGCAGCCGGGAAAATAGCAGATGTTGGCTGTTGGGCAGATTTAGCGCAACTCAGGTGAATGAAACCGGGCATTCTTTATGAATCTCTGTGGACCCTAAATATCAATACTTGCTTACAAGCTGCTTGAAATGATGCCTTTGACCCTTTGGCATCAAATTGCAAGTCTCTTGCTATTGATTTAGTAACAAGATCCCCACTTCCCTATTCCTGTGGTAAATCAGATGCTAATTTAAAATAAAAAAGACTGTCCTGAGTTCAGACTATGGAAAGAGTTTATGGAAAGGAGGAAAGTTCAGGAGTTCAAAAAAGGAACAGCAGTTTCTCCCCATCAGCGTGTTTTAGCCCAGAGAAGCATTCTCACCTGGTGTGGATATATGTTTTCGTTGATGATTTTGGGTAAAACTTGCATCCTCATTGTGAGGATAACTGTGAGTTCTGCTGGTTTGCTCAGTTCTGGTCAGTGTAGTTTCGAAACAGCTCTTCCATATCTGCTTTAGTTCTGCGCTACAGGTTTCCCTCTCAGCTCAGGGTCCCCAGGACTTGGGAGCCTTCAGCGGGGAGAGCAAACCATGCAGCTAAGATGACCAGCTGGCCAGTACTTTCCTCTTCTTAGATTGATCTTTAGAGATCTTATTCCAAGTATTTGATGCTTTCTATAATTTTTTTAAAAATCTAAAATAAAGAGGCTGGGGTGATAGCTCAGCAGTCTAAGCACCTGCCTGGCAAGGGCAAGGACCTGGATTTGATCCCCAGTACTGGGTGCCATGCTGGCCCCAGAACCAGGTGTGGTGGTGCATGCCTGTAATCCCAGCATGGGGGAGGCTGAGCTGGGGATCACTACCAGTCTGGGCTGCACAGTCAGACCCTGTATCAAATTATTAATTAATTAATTTTTAAAAAATTTTAAAAACATGAAATAAGTACTTAGAAGCATGACATTCTAAAAGAATGTCATACACCGTAATTAAACAAAATGTCATGAACATCTAAAGAGATCTATTGTCACCTCTAGCAATGGGGACAGAGAACAAAATTATGAAGTAAGCGGAGTCTGTCGTTGGTCCTCGTCCCCTCATTTCCCACATTTCTCCTGTGCCATCCCACTTTCGGGTCGCCCAAATCCTCCTCAACTGGCTGCATGTCTTCTTCCCACTCCATCTTATTATAAACTACACTGTGGTGCGCCAAGGAGGGTAGGTGCGTTACCTCCTTCCCCCGTGTGCCGTGTGTTAGCAGGGAAGTGCAAGACCCAGACAAGCTTAAGCCCGCAGCAGCTAAGTTCAGGTGTAGAACTGTAGGCATGCACGGGCCAGGAGCCAAGCACGTTGTGGGGTTGCAGATGTCCTAGGTCCTGGACACGAGAATGTGCAGGTCACCACCCATATGGTAAGGCTGCTCTTGGCTCCCACGTTAAGCCACCCACGCAAGACCTCCACGTCCGGGTGTTGCGCTGGGACCCCCTGGTCAGCTTCTCGACCTCTCAGTCCTCTGCCCAGCCCCTAAAGCCACACCAACCCTGAGGAAATAAGCTCCTCACTCATTCTGTCTGCTCCCAAGTAGGAAGGCGTGAAGTGTGGCAGCAGGGTGACTTTCTTCCTCATTCAAGGCTTTGTTTCTTGCCTGTCCTGAATTGTGTTTTTTTAAGCTAAAGCTCCCAATCCTAATTCTTTTTCTCAGTTTTTCAATCTCATGAATAATTGCTATTTTGCTGTTGGTGTAAGAAAATGGTCTTGTCCCACAGGTTAATTCAGAACTGGTGGACTAGAAGAAAAGTACGGCAAGAACATGGACCTGAGAGGAAAATAAACTTCCCACAGTGGGAAAAGGACTACAACCTTCAGCCAATGAACGCCTATGGCCTCTTCGACGAATACTTGGAAATGAGTATGGAAATGTTCTGCCTTGCTCCTTTTATTATAAAGGTCAATTTTAGATCTCTAGCTCCATTCAGAAAAGTAGACCCATCATCAAGATCATCCCAGGGGTGGAAATTCCTGAGCTACACACAGAGGAAAGAACGTCTGCCTTCAAGGCGCCTCGTCTCTGGGAATGGTGCCCACATCACTGCCCACCCCCACAACCTCACCTAGTCTCTGGGAATGGTGCCCACATCACTGCCCACTCCCACGACCTCGCCTAGCCTTTGGGAATGGTGCCCACGTCACTGCCCACCCTCCACGACCTCATGTCATGTCCCTCCCACTGACTCATCAGAAAACGAAATGAGATGGGAAAGTTGGTGTGCACCCAAAAGAGGAGTTCTCCTTCGCACAGGATTATTCACTTTCTCAGCTGACGCCAGGAGACGCTGTAGCAGCACCAGTTTTCAAAGAGCACCTAGACTAGTGGGAGAACCAGAGATAGAAAGAATGCACGCAGTGAAGTGTCACTGTGCTCCGTGATGAGCTGAGAGGCTGTAAAGCGGAGGGTGGTGTGCATCAGGAAGCTAGAAATGCTTAATCCAGGTGACTCTTAGGTCTTAGTCACTTTCTCTATTGCTAGACCCAAGTAGCCAACACCTGTAACTTTCAGGAGGACAGATTTGTTTGGTGCAGAGTTTTAGGGGTTTCAGTCCATAGCCAGCCGGCTCCACAGAAGGGTGGCATGGCACAGGGGCCTGGCAGAGGACAGCTGCTCAGGGCATGGTGGACAGGAGCAGAGAGTCAAGGGAGGACCGAGGAGGGAGATGAACCTTTCCGGGCCATGCGCACTGAGGTCCACCTCTTCCGACAGACTATGCCTCTCCCAGCAAGCCTCGCCTCTCCCAGAAGGCCACGCCTCTCCCAGCAGGCCACACCTCTTCCAATAGGTCCTGCCTCTTCTGACAGGCCCCGCCTCTTTAACAGACCACACCTCTTCCAATAGGCCTCAACTCCTAACAGCAAGTCAGCTATGAGCTCCCATAATCCATCACCTTCCAAAAGCCCCACCTATGAGTACATGAGGCTTTAGAGAGACATTTAGGTATAAACTATAATATATTTAAGGAATTAGATTTCTCTAGATTCAAACCCAGATGAATTCTCTTATGTATGTAAGAGTATGTCATTTTGAAGAAAATTTCCAGGGTTCAAATCCCAGTGTATCATTTATTAGCCATGAAATATTGGGTCATCACTGAATTTCTCTGCCTCAGTTTTCCCATTTCTAAAGTGGGAATGATAACAAGAGCAACTACTTCACTTCATCTTTACTTAGAGCAACGAATGCTTGGCTTATCATATGCACTTGGTAGTGTTAGCTATACTGTGCTTATTATTCTTCTATTCTTATCTCCTGGGGGTCATATAATTGGCCAGTGATATTCTCTCTCTCTCTCTCTCTCTCTCTCTCTCTCTCTCTCTCTCTCT